TGCGATGGCGTGACAATGTTATGCTGCAGACAACTTAATTTGAAACGTTTCTTTCGGACGATGATTTTCTAGACAATTTAATTTGAAACCTTGCTTGTGGGGGTTGCGTGTTTAGTTTCTCGTCACTTCCATGTTATTAAGATTTCCCCTTTGTGATCCAAAGTAAGATAAAGAATCAAAAGATAATGACAATGATACCGAGTTTAACTTGTAAAGTGAGCGATTCTTTTGAATATATACAAGCAGATTGGTAAGCATCTTTGGTTAATGTACTGATTTTTCGAGTGCAAATTTAATATCTTTGGGAAAATCATTGTGAGGTTCCAATTAAAAAAAAAAAAAAACTCTTCTGTTCTTTAACATAGGACTTAATTTGAGAGTTGATGTTGGTCTTATATATAAAACCTATTTCACATGTTTATCAATTTTTTTTCCAAATTAACCCCATTGATATTTCCTCAATAATAATTAAGTAGGAGAGGGTGGGAGGGAATTAAAGAAGATAATTAGGATATTTTCGAAAGAACATATCATATTAACTAATTTAAAAGAAGATAATTATGATGCTTTAGAAAGGCATATTAACTAATTTAACTAACATCCTTAATCTACTCAAATTAGTTAATTTGGTTTTACATTAAAGACCTTAGGAGTAATTAATAAAAAGTCACAATAACAAATGAACAACATAGATCTTGTTGTCATTTTCTGTATTGGAACTCATTATTCACCTATTATAGAACGTTTTGTCAATTACATTCCTTTCTTGTACCCATTATCTCTTGTACCCATTATAATAATTATCCAATATCTTTTGAGTTGATTCGCTGGAAACGTCCGCAAGCAAGCATATGTTCCATATATGCGATATACTATATATTTATTTTTGCTATTCTGATCAATTTCCAGTCACAGCTTGCTTGTTGGATCCAATTAAGGTTCAAGGTTGATCACCGGTAAGTGTGCACTTCATTCTTAGTTTTAATTTTAACACACGTATTATTGATTATGCGGTTCTTACACACAAACACTAAATTTTACTAATTAATATGATAATGCATTGCAAAATAGTGATACATAGTGCTTCATATAGATATCTGTTATGAGTCCTACATTGGGGAATCTCACAAGTATTATAAGGTTTATAAATTCAAGGGGCTCTCCCTCCTAATAGGATAGTCTTTTGGGATGGGCTCTCCCCTTGGGCTTATGCTCATCACATTATTAACTCATTAAAAAGTTCTTTGTTTACTTTTCAGTGAACTTTAATAGCAATCATATAGAACATATTACCTAAGTTTTTGTGCCATTAGAAAATATCTACACATAATTTTTGTTTTTGGCATCGAATGGATTAAAGTCTAATATGTACATGCATACCGTGTGATGGAAGAATTACTGGCTTTTCAAACGGTTTTGGTTATCTCCAGCAGCAACTCTGCTGGTAAGGGAAGGTCTCATCGTGACAATGGCAGACTCATTTGCGCCAGCTCTGAGAGCAGCGTTTCCAGCTTCCAGGAACCTCTTCAGTGCATCTTCTGCATATCTGTTAGCTTCTTCCACTGTCATGGTTTTCCCAATAACTGGACAGGTTTTGAGCACATAATCACCGACGAGCTGCGATGCAAGCTGGATCAGTTCAACCTGGAATTCTGAGAGCTCCTTGTCTCCCCTAGGTCCCCTTGGCCTCAGTGCTGTCTTCACCTCGGGTAGCCTTTCTGGACAATCATCACGGGGAGTATCTCGAATGTAAAAATATGATGAGAGTATCAAAGCAAATCCAATTAAAAGCAAGAATTTACATACATGCGGCTTCCATTTCAATTTATAAGATATTTTTGGAAGGAAAAATGACATAAAAAGAAGTTAAAAATTGTAATATTGCAATTCGGCACTTAATAGGTCAAAATTTCAAGGAAGGAAGTAGTGTATGATATGGTATTTTGCAAATATAGTTAAATAACTAAAATGTCCTTATGTCATTTTTTTTTTAAAAAGCTATCAAACTTGTTATTGTCAGTATATTTCTTGTCATTAGTTATTCAATACTTGTCATTGCCAATTCACAATTTATTAATAAATAACTTGTTATTGCCAATGTATTTTTTGTCATTTATTATTTAACACTTGTTATTATCAATTCATAACTTGTTAATAAACTTTTTGATGATATAAGGGTATTTTTGTTATTTAACTAAATTTACAAAATACCATATCAAACATCATTTCCTCCCTTGTGATTTTAATATCTTAGGTGCTTGAATTGAAATATTGTAATTTTCAACTTCTTTTTATCTCATTTTTCTTTTTTGGAACAAATTGTGAAGACTAATAAATCTCATCAAATTTCATTAGAAACACTATTTTTTTTTTTAAAAAAATTTCAACTGTCCTTTTTTTGGCTGATAGAGTCCTTCATTTACATTATTCCCTAATTGACCCATACTTAATTAATAAGAAACGATATTTTCAGAACAGAGTCATCAACGAATCGTTTTTTCCCAAAACATCTGAAAAGTACTCCTCCAAAAAATGTCTTATAAATAGAAAAGAAAGGAGTAATTTATATAAAAGTAGTTGGGATAATGCTTCATTAGTGTCAAGAGGAAAATTATTTTCTGGAGATATCAAACTGAAAAGCTCTCCATCCACACATAGTGTTTGATATATTTTTCTGTTGATGATTTAGTGCAGATAACTCACAAATCATTTGTTTTTTTTTTTTGTGTATGAAGCAAGGAACAAAAAACCGAACCAGATAATGAATCGGTCAAGATACTGGTTTAAGGATTAGTGGGTCAGATCAGGGTCAGATCGGATCAAACCGATAATAATTAAAATAATATAATTTAATTAAAATTAGTAAAAATATTTATATTCTAATTATAAAAAATAATATTTAATTTTTTAATGGGTAATCATCTTGCAAAATATTCATGTATATGAAATTTTTTACTTCTCTTTTTATTTTTTTTCCCCTTTCCTTTTCTCTCATCTCACCCAATAGAATCTTTCGTTTTTTTTTTTAACTGGTTTTACCATTTCTTCTCTCTCCCACGTGCACTCCACATTTTTCTCCCTATGTCACGCCTCACAGAGCAGTTCTTCTTTCCTCTCTCCTCCTTGGACAATAAATAAGTAGAGTAGCAGAGTAGAATAGGCAGGGGGAGCTCATCTTACCTCTTGAGTACGCATGGTCATTTGACTCATTTCTCCCTTCGTCCTCTAAAGTGCTTCCTACCTTTCTCACTTCATTTTCTTTCTCAGACAGAGAAACAGCGAACAATGCCATCATTTTTTCTCTCAACACTTTATTCATTTATCCTACTTTCTCTATTATCTTTCTGTTTGCCTTCTAATCTTTCACAAGTATGCTTCAAAGCGGCACAAACAAAGTTCTGTCTTCCTTCACTTTAATGATCTCCTTTGCTTCTACCACTTATCTCTGCAGTGTCCATGGTCTCCACAAGCAGTGAGACGTCCGGTGAACGGTGAGACCAAGAAAGAAGGGGGAAAAAACGCAACCGACCAACCCAGTCAAGCTAACGGTTTGCCTGGTTTTTACTGGTTTTTTCCGGTTCATTCTAAGTTGCTCCGGTTTGATTGAAGGCCGGTTTTCAAGCTAAATCAGACCGGTTCACCGGTTTTTTGGTTAAACCGGCCGGTCTGGTCCGATTTTTTTCTTCTTGGTATGAAGAGAGAAAAGTCACAAGATATCCACGTGATTATACGCGCACACATATATAGACATCTTTAAATGTTTTCAATACCAACCGCTAATCTGTAAGGCCTGATTTTTTTTTTTGGGGTACATATGTGTGTGTGGGCGTTGTTGTTGAGTGTTAGAGTGACTGTGTGTATGATATAATTGAAAATCAGGGTTGGTGGCAATCTAAGTACTCCATAAAGTTTTGGAACCTTGTGAGAAAATTAATGGCTAATCAATCAGCTTCTTCACATAGTGCTCATGGCGGCTCATTATCTTCTCTCATCATCACTCACTCACTTTACCTTTTTCTTTCTATTTCTTAAAAGCCAACCATGCTCTCACACTTCAAATTCAAAATAAATGGCTAATCATGTTAGCTGAGTTGCTAAGGAGTTAGCTCATAACTCATAAGATCAAGAGTATACATTTCTTTATCAATATGAGGATCTTGTTGATAGGCGATATGTAAATAATTTAAAGAAATGTTCTAATTCTGGTGAGCTCCTAGGACCTAACTCAATTAAACTTTTTGTATCAAAAGAAATTTCAAAATAAATTGGAAAGTGATTTCTTCAAATATTTCAGGCAATAAAGTATAGACACATTTGACACTTGTTACTTTATCTTCCTTGTGATTCTCAGTATATACACATTGACACTTGTTACTTTACCTTCCCTACGATTCTCAATAATTATTCTCAACACAAAAACAAATGCTTTTCATTGGCAGAAAAAAATATTGTTTTTCTGTAATTAATTGAATTTGTATATTGATGAGCATAAGCCCAAGGGGAGAACCCATTCTAAAAGACTAGCCTATTAGGAGGGAGAGCCCCTTGAATTTATAAACCTCACAATACTTGTGAGATTCCCCAATGTGGGACTCATAACAGAGCACCCCTCTAGAGAGCCGACGTCCCCGACGGCTCCACTCTATGGCACTTCACTCGGTTTTCTTACCGGTCAAAACCCTCCGCAGGTAGCCCTTTCCGGTTGGCCAACTCTCAATGAAAGCACCAATGTGATGAGCATAAGTCCAAGGGGAGAGCCCATCCCAAAAGACTAGCCTATTAGGAGGGAGAGCCCTTTGAATTTATAAACCTCACAATACTTGTGAGATTCCTCAATGTGGGACTCATAACAATATCTTGTACTCCCCAAATGTCAATATTGCCAGGTGACTCGGAACAAAACTCGCCGATGATGGACTTTGATCTTCTTGTGAGCCTGCACCGTCCTTCCCTGCAGTTATCATTTGGAGAACAATTAGGTGACAGAACAATCCTCGCCAATGCCGCAAGAGGAATCAGGTGAATTCTCTTCTTATTTCAGTCTGATTTTGATCAATTAATATATAGTATTATGTTCGGACGAATTTTAAGTCAAGTTTCTCATTATCATTATGTCCAGTTCTCTAATTGCATATGGTCATGTGTCTTTTTTTTATTTTCATATAATCATTTAACTCTACACTCATATGGAAAAAAATAGAACATGCGGAAATTGGAGAAATTGACATAACAATTATAAGCAACTTGACTTAAATTTTAAGTTATACAATTCAAAATAATAATCCTATCTCATAAATATGGCACTAACAAACTAATACCGTATGCCAATCGCTTAAATGCATAAATATGCTTGTGTAGTTATGTACGGATGTGCATGCAAATGTCTACATTCATATACATAGACATAATTATAACACCTAATAATGATTTGAGAAATTAAGATGATAAATCTTTAAAAAGATGGGGATGAGTACATACCTTGGCCACACCATTTCATAAACCACGAATGTATGTTTCGCCATATATTACGTGGAAATTTGAGAAATGAACTACAAAAATTAATTTTCATCAATTAAAATTGTGTGGATTATTGCAGGTGATGAGGAAAGAGAATGGAAGGATGATTTGTTCCATGCTATCAGTAGTAGCAAATGGAGTGATGCAAAAGCAATTGTGGACCAAAACTCTGATGCTTTGACTGCAGTAATTATTGATCAAGGCAGAACCACACTTCACGTGGCTGCAATGTTTGGGCATGTCACCATAGTGGAGGAGTTGCTCAAATTACTGCCTCCAGAATTCCTTCTAACTGGTGATTCTAACGGTGATACAGCACTTGTATTGGCTTGCTGGTTTAGTGGAAACACTCAAGTTGCAAAATGCCTCGGAAAGAGGAATAGCCACATACTTGGAATTTCGAGCAGGTTTGATGATCTCCCTGTTACAGTGGCCTTTGACAATGGTCACCAAGAATTGGGACGTTATCTATATTCTGTCACTCCATTGGAATACCTCAAAGGCCATCCGGGTTCTAAGCTTCTTCGTGTTTGTTTTCATGCACAATGTTTTGGTATGTTATATATAATATCATTTTTCTGATTTCTTAATGTATGGCCTTAGAGAGTTGATTTTGGTTCTAAATGTAAAACTTATAAATTTTTCATATTTATCATTTTCCTCCCAAACCACCCTCTCTTAATATTTCCTCAACAAGATGGTCGGTTCTTCTTACAATAATAATTGAGGTCAAAGATCATGGGTGTTTTAGAAAAAAAGAGAGTCATATTTACTATAATTAACTAATATAATTTAACTAATTTTTTAATCTAATCAAATTAATTAAATAGGTCCTACGTCAAGGATAGACTAGAGGAGTAATTCTTTTGTTGTATATATTGTTGTCAATTCACGGTGTGACTATATATATACATACACATGTATTTATTATGTGTGCAGATATCGCACTGCATTTGCTTCAACAATGCGAAGAATTGCTTTTAGTAACCTTCAATGGTGGAGCGTGGACGCCAATTCATGACATCGCAACCTTGAACACTATTATTTTTCACCCAAGTGAACTTATTTTCTGGAAGCGATGGATCTATGACTGTCAGTATCAAATGCATTCCTTTCTTTTCCGTTATCACATGTAGATTTTGTTTATATTACTTTCTCTCCGTTCAATAGATTGTTCTTCCTCAATGTAAGACCCATTTGATAATGTTATTGACGCTATAAAATAAGTCTTATATTTCACACCAGTGGAGTAGTAGGCAGCATTATGAGAGTTGACATAGATTATATTAAAACGTAAATACATGTCTCTCTCTCTAACCTATGGATTATGGAATATAATTTAAGAATTACAATTAATAGATTATTACAATTAGATGGGCTAAAGATCAACTTATAAAAAAGATAAAATTAAGTGAATTAAGAAAACGTGATCCATCCAAGTTACTTTTAATTAGCATAAAGAGCATATTTTTCATATGTTGTTTTACCTTGCATAGTATCATCATTATTATTTACGTATTTTTTTAACAACATTATTTTTTGTTCTTTCTTTGCCCATGTAAGATATAAATATACCTCCAGCCACAGCTACCAATCATGCTCTCGTGGACATCCAACAACAAGATAGAAGTCAAGGAGATGAAACAAAACTTACAGAGCCAGATATGTTACAAAAATATTTTTCGGACCATAGGAATAATATATAAACTTGTAGGCATTAAAACGTGTCACTTTTGCATTGCTTTTTTAAATAACCGAATCAAGCCACTAACCAGACTAGATCACTAAAAGTCTAGTTTTGGCCAATGGTTAGTTATCTCAGTGATAACGCCACCCATCATACTTGAATGAAGTCTGAGATTCAAGTCCACCTTTAGCATGTTTGTATACGTGGGCCTTTTCATTGTTGGGCTATCATTCATGACCCAGAACCTGAACCGAAGTAAACCAGAAACTAAAATGGGTTTTAGAAAATCAAACGGGTTTTGGACGTAATGGAAAAAAAAAGGCTAAAAATATAGATATATTCATCCTCTCAAAGAAATCAATATATTTTTAGACCATATGAAACTAAATGGTGTTATTTCATTGAAAACTTTATATATTGCGTTGTTATTATGTTAGCAATTAAATTTGCTATTGATTTGTTTCTTACATATGCTAACATATAAATGCGTGCAATTATTCTTATTTAATTAGTATGAGTAAGTTTGACCACCAGTCTAATAGGTTGAAACAATGCGTTATGACAATTTCGCATTTTCATCAAAACCATGATAGGGAATTGAACTCACCAATAAGTGGAAATCTTCTCTTCGATTAGTAGTATGTTATATCTCTTCAATACAATGTTTATTGTAACATTAGTTCAGAAGAGGGATAAAAGATTTGGTGTTAATTAACAGTGCATGGATTGATACTAAGGCTCATCACCTCCGCCGATAATTTTGTAGGTATGGATGCAAACTTTCATATCTCTTCAAATAATTGGGTACTTGTTCAAGCTTAGTCTTAATTCTCATACATCAAATTAAACTAACTAAAAGATCCATGTGTCATACGCATGAATGTAGGAGTTAAGAAGATACAAGAGCTAAAGTTGTTGCATGCACAAGCAGATGAGCTTCTTCGCCTAGTTTGTAAGAATGCTAGGAAAGCATACCAAAAGGGATTTATAGAGGAGCCTTTACGTCTTGCCGCTAAAGAAGGGAATGTGGAGTTTGTGTTTCAAGTCTCAAAAGTAATCCCAGAGATCTGCATCAATCCAACATTCGCTTCGTGTTTCAATGAAGCTCTTGATTATCGACAAGCTAAGGTTTTCAGCCTTATTCATGGGCTTCGCTTCAGGCATGTCTTGGTAACATTTATAGCTGATGATGGAAATAACTTGATGCATAAGGAAGCTATGAAGGCTCCTGATCATGTTCTTAATCGTATCTACACACCTACACTACAAATGCAAAGAGAATTACAATGGTTTAAGGTTAGAGAAAGACGTATTATTTTTCGAATCAATCTCTTATAAGTTTGAATCTATTAAATATTGTTTGTCTGCAAGTATGTGAGTATGTTTCCCTATGATTTTCACTTTCTTTGGAGGCACAATAAGTGTTTTAGAATCATTCAAACGAATCACAAAGAAAGTAAATCTCTTGGGGCCAGGATTTGAACTAAAGTTCCACTTTCTTCTCTGACCGATTTCTGGATATAATAGTGGTCTAGTTTTGATGAGAATATGAAGTGCATTACTTTTTCAAACAAATGCAGGAGGTTGAGAATTTAGCACCTCCAAGCTTTAGGGGATTTCGAAACAATGATGGTATGACAGCTGAGGAACTATTTCGAGAAAATCACAAAGATTTAATGAAGCAAGGAGAGAAATGGATAAAAGCCACATCATCTTCATGCTCAGTTGTCAGTGCCCTAATTGTGACCATTATGTTTATGGTTGCTTTTACAGTTCCGGGAGGAAATGATCAAGATCTTGGATACCCATTATTCATTAAACAACCATGTTTTACGGTTTTCATATTCTCAACCATATTATCACTTCTCTCTTCTTCATCTTCAGTTCTAATGTTTCTAGCCATCATTACCTCTCAATACTCAGAAGAAAAGTTCCTCAGATCCTTACCAACAAAATTGATATTGGGTCTTTCTTTTCTTTTCATCTCCATAGTAAGCATGATGATAGCATTTCTCTCCACCATTCGTCTCATGTTAAAGCATACAAACTACTCATGGGGTCTCCTTCCCATTATCATACTTGCAAGTGTTCCGGTCTTCCTCTTTGTGCTGTCACAATTCCCTCTTCTTCTTCACACTTTTGTTTAGGGGTGTTCAATTTGTCCCGTCCCGGTCGTCCCGTCCCGGTTCCGGTGAGTTCGGGACGGGACGGGACGGGACAAAAAAAATTTCAGGACGGGACAAATACGGGACGGGACGGGACAGTGACCGGGACGGGACGGGACGCGGGATGGGGTTGTCCCGTCCCGGGATTATTTTTTTTAAAAAAAATTATTTATTAATAATTATTATTAGATTATTCAATTTACTTATTAATAATAATAATTATTTTTATAGTGATTTTTAACTCTTAAGTTGTAATATTATCTGAACAATATCTCCTTCCTCAATAAAATAATTCATAAAGCCATTATATAGTGTTTCTTTTATCGTATTTTTTTTACAGTATTGTTTTTACACTTTTTTTATACTATATAATTGAGCTTTCTACATAATATTTTTTATAATGTTTTTATCTTTAAAAGCCTAACAAAAAATAAGCATTATAACATAAAAAAATTTCATATAAAAAATTATAGTATTTTTTTAAAAAAAAAAAGAGAAGGGGAACGGGACGTCCCGTCCCGTCCCGTGAACACCCCTACTTTTGTTTACACGTATGGGAGTATCTTTGATGGGAAAGTCAAGCCGTGGCCATGAGACGGATCTGTCATTGATGTACCACTTTGTTCTTATATTATTTGAAGAATTACGATTTGATGTTTCTTTTCAATTACATTGACATGAAATTTAATATAGGAAAGGAAGCCGTGACTGTGAAATTTACTTTCTTTTTTTTTAATGAAGATTTTTCATTGTTTCTAGTCAATTGGATTGAGTAATTACTCATGGTCATTGTTTGCCGAGGTGCATTTAATAAAGAGATGATTAATTTGCAAGTCCTTATAGTTTCAACCAATTTTGAATCAGGTCCTTATACTTTCACCTGTTTTTAATTAGGTCCTTGCATTTATTTTTCTTTTTATCAAGTCCTTATAAGATCACCTTATTTTTAAGTAAGTCCCTGAATTTTTTATTCTTTATTTTAGAAATTTTAATAGTACTATTCTATAAACATAAAATAGTTTATATTATGTAATATTAGTTTATAAACAATAATATTCTAAAAATAATGAATTATTATAATAATTTTATTTTTTAGCAAAAAAATTAATTTTTCTAAAAAAATTTCCTGAATTAATTAATCATATTACTTATCTTTTATTATATAATTATTAATATTTTATATTTCAGTATTAATTTATTTAATTAAGTTTATATTTAATTAATAAATAAAAATTAAAACTAGATGGACCTGATTAAAATTTTAGTGAAATTATAAGGACTTAATAAAAAGAAAAATAAATGCGAAGACCTAATTAAAAATAGATGAAAGTATAAGGACCTGATAAAAAAAAAATTATAAGGAACTAATTCAAAATTAGTTGAAACTATAAGGACTTGCGGATTAATTAACCCTTTAATAAAACTCTAATAATCTAAGCTTTCTTATAATTCTTGAAATATTGACCGAGTAAAACTGACTTAAATGTTGAGTTTTTTCAAAGAGTTGCCGATTGTGACTTTAAATTGATGCTCTCAGAACGGTCGGAGCTGCATTTCTTGCCCCTCTTGAGAATTCATTTTCAAACTAGGCAGTCGGAATTGGGCGTGGTCACTCTCGGAGGGAAAAATCGTAGGAGAGAATGACAAAAAAAGAAGCTAAAAATTACTAAATCCTAAATTAGATTTGATAACAACACTTCATTTGGTGTTAATAATTTGGTATTTACAAATTTTCAGCTTTTTTTGATTTTTTTTTCCAAATCGTAGTACTTAAATGTGGTGTATTATTGAGAGGCAAGTCAATATTATATTACATTTTACAATTTTTTGTATTTGTAAATCACAAATATATATATATATTTTTATCGTATTTACTTAGATATTTTAGCGATGAATTGCACCTAATTAATCTTAATTAGATTATATTTTATTTTATTAGTCCTTTTATATTTTATGAAACTAAATTGATTAAATTTTAAAAAATTATTATTAAATTCTCCATTTAATATTTTTTCCCATATGATTATTGAATATTACTTTATTTTGTGCAAATTTTTAGAGCTTAATTGAAAATCAATTATGGCCATCATTTTGGCCTCATGAAATGGATTAATATTCATTATCTTAATTTTTTATTTCTTTCGAGGGAAATTATTTGAATAGAAATTAGAAAACTTAAAGTAGTGTTTCTATTTTCTTATTTATAGGGCAGTTTGGGAAGCCTAAAAAATACTTTGGCTAAAAGACACTTAAAAAATACTTTTACACAAATCAAAATGAAACTCCTCTGATATATTTATCATAAAATTACTTTAAAAAAGTTAATCAAGACAGCCTCTTAATATTAGGTTTTGAGAGAGTTAATATTACCGATGGGGCGACGCCCAGGAAGAATAGGGGGCTTGGCTGGAGAAAAAGAAAGGAGTAAAGGAAATTTTGTGGGAAGCTTCTCCTTCCTTCATATGTTTTCGGAATCATTCTTCCTCTCAGCATCGTGGCTCGCGGGTTGTTTAAGTTTTTTTCCTTTTATTTTTGTTTTTGCATTTTCCTTCAGATGCAACCACCTATAGTTTTGAACTCTGATGCATTAAACCGGAGTATCATGTATATGTTTTTTATATTTATTTTTTATGTTTGGTTCATTCCTTTCTAAACTTCCGTTTTTGCTTTCAGTCTCGGATTAGAATAATAGTCTGATGGTATATATATGAATTTGTCCTTTACGGTTATACCTAAGAGTTTTATGACTTAGGCACTTAACTTGGGTTGACTGAGTGATTTGGGATTGCTTAATCGTTGCCCTTTGGTTATTTTGCATTGTGATTATTGCTGGATCATTTTATGATTGAGATTTCAATGTTGGAAAAGATTGGTAGGACTTTTAAGTTCTAAATGATAGTTTGGAGGTTCATTTGATTTTACCAAAGCATAAAAACTAAACTAGACTATTCGATGAATTTTGAGATGAGGACATATATAGTTGATTGCACTGTTATTTTATTAAGTTATTTTTCTTTTTAGTTTTAAATTCTTGTTTTAAATCAGTTTTTATTTCACTTTAAATTAAAACCCCCAATTTAATGTGCAAGATTTGATTTCCTCATCGGTTCATTCGATAGCTCTCAAAAAGACGATTTAAGTTATGCTTTACTACAAAATTCAGTTTTGATTACATTAACATTGGTGCTATTTGCGTCACTCATTCCCACAAGTCATTCTTTATTTGAAATTTATTATTTTTTAAAAAAAAAGTTCACATTGATCCATTAATATCATATCTCTTAACCACAACCTTGTCTTATTTAACTCAAATGCTTTGCTTATATCGTCCAAGTGGATCTCAAGGGTCAAAAGTTCATGAACGGGAATTTCCTGTATTTAGAACATTAATCTTTTGTTTTTCCAACCTAGAAAATTAATCTATTAACTAAAATATATCAAAATTAATTAATTAATTAATACGTAATTTCACTAATTCTTTACTCATTTTCATTTTCGTTTGGCCAAATACTCAATATGCTATTTTCTTATAAAGAAAATTTCCAAATAAATTTGACATATATTACTAAAGTTTGCAGTAAATAATTTTCCTTCGAATACAATGATTTCTTTTGCAAATGTGAACTTCTTTTTCAAACATCATTTCATTGTTTTAGATAAGAAAAAGTTATGCAATTAGCTAGTCCTATAATTTTTATTTACTCGGAGAAATTGGAGAATGAAATGTACCCCTTTGGTAGATTCCATGGCTTTATTGAGCAAAGAGGGTGACAAGCCTTTGTTATGGGAGCTAATTCAAACAAAAACTAGATGAAATGCACTATAACGGCACTAACCTAAGTGTCAGTCTCTTAAGGGGAACCGATTACACTACTAAATAATTAGGTTAGATTACTATTTAACAAAAAGGGATGTGAAATGGAGTAGATACTACTAGACTCAACTAAGCTAAAGCTATCTAATATTTGTGATTTTATCTTTTAAACAACAGAATGGAAGATAATGGTAATGGATGAGGTGTACTCTCCGTGATGAATGACTCACTACTCTTCCTAGTCCACTAAAGATTGGTTCATTCGTACCTAACTAGACTAACACCACTTAATTGACCCAACCAAGTGAATGCTATAGACCTGGCTTGACTTTAAACTCACAAGGATCAAGAACTAGGTAATTCACACCATTGATCCAACAACCTAGCACCCTAGCATTGTCATTGTATTTTCTCCACAATCTTAGCATACCACTGACCCAGCAAGTAAATAGAAATTGAGAATAATGTAGGTGTAATGTCAAATACCACATTCAAGAGCCCAGAGTCAAATGAATCACAGTCACATAACATGTCATAATTCAAGAAACACGAATCCAAGGCAGGTATCAATCTCTTGATTATACATACCAGTAATAATCCTCTCTAAACACATCAATCTAAGTCCTAGTATCATAGAAACTCAAATCAGCATATACGAGAGAGTGGAAACTGAAAATAGATACAAATAAACTTCCCTATCAGCTCAGGAACGCATAGTAGCTTCGTCAGACATCAAAGAGTGGGGAGATCACGAACTCATGGTTGGAAGGTAGCTACGCCGAGCTCCACACCTTCTGTTAGCCATCAAATCATGATCTGGAAGTGAGGATGCGTTGCACTTGGGGGAATGTAGAAGATGATTGATGGAAGTAGTGGAATCCGGTCGGAAATGGTGATGGAGAGACGGATTC